CTTTCGATACAATGACTCAGTATAGTGAAAAATTAAATATACATTCTATCTAATAATCTCCTGATGGCAACTATATTATTTAGCTGTGGTTCTAAGTTGTTTTAATACATCTACACCTCTCTAGTTCGAACTGTTGTCACTAAAATTTTATTTAGACTTAAAAAATTCTTTAAAATCCATTAAACAGCTGTAAGATTAGTAAGCAGCTACTGACCACTGCTCTCCTCCCTTGCACCTACCATACTAGAAGCTACCAAGGCAATTCCATGTAACATAAAGCTCTAACAGCCAAGATACTGCCCAGAGATTAACAAAGAACGAGTTCCCTAAATGGTGTTCACATGATTATCTCTATCAGTTACAAACATAGTCACTCCAGGACTAAACATAACAGGTCTTCACTTTGGCTGCTAATAAAATAACTGTCAAGTGCCCACTAAGGTAATCAGGTATACATGTAGCTGGCATTTTCATTAGATTGAGGCAGTGAATTCTAAATTCAAACCTTAGCTAGAAGGTATTAGTGAAGTCAAATACATGCATCCCTTTTCTAATAATTTACACTAACTAAACACAGATGAGTTATAACTGGAAAGTTGTGAGATGGTAATAAAAGAAAATTACTGCAGCCATGTGAGTACTTTTTAAAACCAGTTATGAAATGCTGCGGTCTATAAGCAGAATTATAAATAAATTTTCCCAGTATTCTTAAATAATTTTTTACATTTCTACACCCAATTTAGAACCCAATAAAGACCACAAGGCCCTCTATTAACAGCTCAGTAAAGGATTCTACTGTTTCAGTCAGCATGGCTCCTTTAAGTTACTTCTGTATTCTCATTCAGCTGAGTTTTGGGACACAATTTTGATTCTTCTGAGAGTACCAGGACTTGTGCACTCACAGTACAAAGCAGAAAAGCACTATTCCTGGAGAAAAGCTCAGTCCACCATTAAGAATCTGCCCAGAGGAAAAAGAAAATACAGCAGATTCTGAGGCACTTCCAGTCCCACATCATAAGAGAAAGAAGGTTAGAGACTCTTCCTTGTATTGACTGCATACTAGAGTTTCAAACTCATCACACTCTAAAACATTCAAGCAAAGAATTCTGTTATATATTGCAAATCCTTTACCCACAGTGTCCTGGGAGCGATTCTGAAAGTCATAAAAACCCAAACAAGTATTAATATGTCATTAAAATCTAAGAAAGAAAACAATTTCATGAATCCTGGGGTAACCTAAAGAATGATCTATACGTGTCAAAACGGAGTAATTTTCCCTTCCCCTGAAAATGCCTGACTTTGAAATTTAGGAGGTTAATTGATAATTTAACTTTTGATTCAACATAAGTTATTTGTGCAAACATAATGTCTGCAAAAAACAAAGCTTATTCAAGGCTAGGTACCTCATAGATTATGATCTTTAAGTTGACATCTACCTAACTCCTAAGATTTAGGAATGGCACCTCTCTGCTCACCAATTATGCCTATTTCAGAACTATGGCCTTTTAAAAAATCTTAAGTACTTTTTCTGACAACTTCTGGTGGGTTCTGGAGAGTTTTTCAACATTAAAAAACAAACGTAGCATTTTATGGGACATAATTTCCACCATGCTAGGAAAATTTAAGACTCTATAAGGCCAAGTCACATTTAATTCTCCAAAGGTACCTTTCAATGTCTAGAATAGCAAAAAACAAAAACAATTACTTAAAATGTGAATATTGAAAAAATTAAGACATTCTTCCAAACCCTAGGAATTCTGCAATTTTTCAGTTTATGACAACAGATTCTGCTCTTCATATAACTGGAATCTCAGAAATTTATCACAAAACATAACAATCAATCTTCCCAGGGCCAAGTAGTGGGTACTAAAAATTCAACACTATCAATTTCCCTACACATCCCAGGGCCAATTAACAGTCAGGAGCATTTATCATATGGCTCAAGAGCAAATAATAAAAAAGCGCCTGCGTCCTGGCTGAAATCACAGCAGACCCATTGTTTCATTTCCAGACTGATTCCAAGCCAGTCTCCTTAT